CAGTTCTAGAAGCTGGAAAAGGTGAGGAGACAGATTCTCCCCAGAGCCTCTGGAGGGAGCAAATCCCTGCCATCACTTTGATTTCAGCCCAGGGAGACCCTGGACTTCCGGACTCCAGACTGTCAGGAAGAAATATGGGTTGTTTTAAGCCACCATGTTGGTATCATTGTCACAGCAGCAACAAGAAACTGGTACACCTGCACGGAGCATTTTACTCCTCTTGGCTCACGGCCAGAGGTCCAGCTGGGTTGGGGGGGGCAGGGTCTTTGCTGACTTCTTTACCCAATGGGGGGCCTGGGGAGATTTCAGGCCATCATCATTGTGCCTAGAAGCTACTGACATCTCACCATCTCAGGCATTGGTGCAGAGTTCCTGAATTTGGCAATGGGCCCATTGTCAGTGGCTGTGCTAGTGTCACAATGAGCTCTGGTCTCTGTAACTCTACAGGTGGTACACCCTGGGGCCTGACATTGAGGCTGTGCATCCTTTCCTCTGCCCACCTGTCACTAATGCAGCCTACCTATCCCTAATGCAGCCCACCTGTCACTAAAATGCAGCCCACCTGTCACTAATGCAGCCCTCCCCTGCAGACTTCCTTGCATTGTGGAGTGGATTGCAAAGTGGGCCTGGACCATGGTGGTAGCCAATATCACCTGTCACTATCAGTGGGCCTCATACTGCTGGGGGTCCTGGGGGTATTGCACCCCATACTGGTACCTCCTGCACCTCAGCATTTCCCCCCTCTTCCTGTACTCTTGGCAGGTATGGTCCGGGTTTCCATGACAGCTCAGAGATGCCTGGTGTTAGACTGGGGGAGAGAAGCCAAACATTTCACAACAAACCCCCGAGGCCACACCAATTCGCATCATGGTTAAGTTGAAGTTCTGAGTAAACGGGATCTGTCCATATGATTGTGTTTGATCCAGAAATTTCCAACAAGGAATGGTATGCCTCTTGGGGAGGGGCAAGACAATCTGTTGGGGTGTGGATAGAAGTGTCAGAACTCCCATTTGTATTGGGTTGTCGGAAAAGTCATGACACATTTTTGCAACGAAAAACATAGAAAAAAATAAGTCATGACTTTTCCGACAACCCAATATTTATTTTTAGCTTATTCTTTTAAGTTTCCATTTCTTTTCATGTCTTATGTTATCTTTAATGTATTGAAATAGGAGTATAAATATGTATAACTAAATAAATATGAAATGGTAGGGATAATGCTTTGAAATCTTTGTTGAATGAAGATAATGGTGAATAAAAGAAGTTTTTACACCATTAACTAATCCATTAGCATTTATTGATCATCTACTGTGTGCAAAGATCTGTGCTAGATGCCATGGGAATTTTTTAAGAGAGAGAGAGAGCATAGGGTATGGTTTTCAGCAAAGAGGTTAGGAGTGCTATTCTGCGTGACAATCTGGGGAGGGTATCTGTAACTCACACCACAGACAAGGGCTGATTTTCCTAGAATGTAGAGAGCATTTACAAATCAACAAGAAAAGGACCAACAGCCTCACTGGGAGAAAAGATGGGCAGAAGAGATTCACAGAAAGGAACTACAGATGGCTGTTACGCATGCGAAAGGTGCTCCCTCATCACAAGGGAGCTGCGTGTTAACCAGTTTTCCCGCTGGGCCCACCAAGATCCACAAGTGTCAAACATACTGTGTTGATGAAGATGAGGAAGTCAGACAGTCTACTGCGACAGCGACAGCTTCAGAATTACCACACCCACCCCCCTCCAAGCTGGCCACTCATCCTCTGGGAATTTACCTATAAATATACTCACCTATGGGAAATAGTTACATAGGTCCATACAGTGAGGTACTACTCAGGCTTAAAGAAGATTCAGGAAGCTCTATGTATACTGATATGGAATGAGTTCCAAGAAATGTTGGTAGTGGAAATGGCCAGGGGCTATAATTTGTGTAAAGAGAAAGGAAAAAAGAATATGTATACATGCATAGACAAACCCGTGGAAGGCAGGCTGCAGGTGGGAGAGGCAGAATCAGAGCCTTCCTTGGGGGGCTGCTACCCAAAAGAGGGAAGACCCCTGGACAGGCGGAGAGGTGAGCTGGAAAAGGCTCCAGGCTGGGATCCAGAGAGCCCACCCAACTCCAGGTCTTCAGGGAGCCACGTTAAGTTCCCCAGATTGTTTCCTTGTTGGGAACAAACACTGCTCACCCCTTCAGCCCCTGGGTTTGCTGGATGTCAAATTAACACAGACCCAATAGTTTTTGCTGTCAGTCACTGGGGGATTTCCTGTGCAGGCTCTGTGCTCCAGGCAGCACATATATTATTTCATGGAAACCTCACCACAGCCCTGAGAGAGGGCCACTTTTTGCATCTCAGTTCCTGGGTGCTGAAAGTGAGGCTTAAAGAGGTTAAATAATTGGCCTCATGTCACACAGTGACAAAGTAAGATTCCACCCAGTTCTTTCTTTCCAAAGCTGAGCCATATTCCTTTACTTGTGTCAGTAAGTCGGTAAACACACGTCTGGGTCGGTATTTTGCTGTCTCATGAACCAACCTTGGGGGTCCCCAAATACACCCAGTCCCTGAGGGGGCTGCTGCATCACGTGTTCTCCTTGTCTCTGTGGGTTGATGCCCGCTGCCTGTCTGTCCTTCCCGTGCCTCAGGAACAAAGTGCGTGGCTGATGGGGGTTCGGTGGCAATGTGCACACACGCAGTGCTGGACAGCGGCAGACATGCCTGCCAGCACTGGGAGAGGCAAGAGAAGGCTGCCTCAGAGGGGAAAAGGCCCTAGTTCTCCCCAGTCGCCCTCATGGAAGAGGAAGAAAGCCACAGCCACCCTTCAGAGAGGCTTTCCCACCACACGGGTTAGAGGAATTCCCCGCCCACCTGCTCCGTCCCCTTTGGCTGTGTCACGCGCTCTGCCCTTCATCCTGTATTTGAATGTTTTCCTTGCTCAGGCACTCAGGAAATGTCTGTTGAATGAGCATAGAGTTCATCCCTAGTTCTCTGCTTGCTCCCATGGAAGAGGACCGTGAGGGGACCCCAGGGCCACCATCCAGGCCTAGGGCCTGCTTCCGGCCCCACCCCAGGTGCTTCCTAGGGGAGAAAGAGGGAGGCGTTAGGTGCGCCCTGGTTGGAGGCCGGCTAACAGATTGGGGGGGAGTCCTATGTAACCCGTCAGGGGAGCGGATTTGGCTTTCTCTGGTTGGTCCTAAATTGGGAGCAGAGACAAAAATGAGGGAAGCTGACAATTACTGATTATGTCCTGGCCTTTTGGGTGTGTACTGCTGCTGAGCTTGTGGCTTGGCTGCCTGGCTGGTTTGCTGTACTTGCGCAAGAGTTCTATCTTAATATGTGGTCTGGCCCTGGTCAGTTTGTAATTCAGCCTCTCAAGACCGGCAGTGCCCTGGGCTTGCCTTGTGCCTGCTTCTCCCGTCCTGTGCGGGTACGAGGTCCTGGGGCGCCCTGAGGTTGTCACCATCTGCGGCCCGATTCCCGGTTCTGGGCCCCCCCTCCGCCTCTGCAGGGCCACAGGTTTGCGCACCCCCACGTCCTCCCGCCGCCCGGACCCTGGAGGCGTGGGGAGCAACGTGCCCTGCTTCTGGCGCGGCTCCGCACAGTGCACACGCAGGTAAAGCGGCCTCGGGCGCTGGACCTGGGAGGAGCCAGAGTGCTGGACGCCACCTGGGCGCCCAGGTGAGTGCGCAGGGCAGGCGGGGCGCCATCGCTTGGGAAGCTGCTGCTGCTTTGGGGCGCAGTCCCTCCCTCCTCTTCGAACTGGCACCGATAGTGGTTCACATCTGTTGATCCTGCTTGGTGGGGAAGGACAACAGCTTGTGATGCCAAGGGGTAGCGCCAAGGTGATGTGTGCTGGGAGCAGCGAGATGTTCCCGGAGAGCTCAAGGGAGACTGGGAGCCCGTGGGTCTGCCCTACGCTGGCCGTGGCCACTAGGCGACAGGAGGAGGAGAGCAGGGCAGAGCCATACCCGTTGTGACTTCGTGTCCTGCGGTGCCCAGTGGGTTACGGCAGGGGTCAGCTGTGTTTTACCAGATCCTGTGGAGCGCATGTACTCCCCCTGCCCAAAGGCAGCTCCTGCAGCCTCCAGGGGGCCCCAAGTTGGACACACCCAGCCCCTGACTTGCAGCTCCTCCTCCCCTCCCGGCCTCAGCGGCTCTTGGTCACATCTAGTGATGGCGCCTGTAAAAGCGTTTCCCACGGCCTGGCCCGCAGTGAGCACTCAATAAACCCTCACTCTACTGCCAGGCTGAGCTCACCAAGATGGGGGTGCACTGCCCGATGGGGCAGAGATCACTCTAGGGTGTTTCCCAGGGGGGGTTAGATATGTGCCTTCACAGAGTAAGAAGTTTGTTCCCTAGTCAGTTCATTCAACCCCCAATTGGCTGATGGAAGAGTCTTCATAATCCTTGCTAATACCTGATTCCTTGTTTTCAATTACAGTTGACATACAACATTAGTTTGAGGCATACAACGTAGTGATTAGACATTTATATACCTTACGAAGTGATCCCCCTGACTAGTCTAGTGTCCACCTGACACCATACATGGTTATCACAATATTATTGACTGTATTCCCTATGCTGTACTTTACATCCCTGTGACTGTTTTTACAATTGGGAATTTGTACTTCTTAATCCCTTTGACCTTTTTCACCCAATCCCCCAGCCCCCCTCCCACTGGCAACCATCAATTTGTTCTCTGTATCTATGAGTTATTTTCTGTTTTGTTTGTTCGTTTACTTTGTTTTTTATATCCCACATAAAAGTGAAATCGTATGGTATTTGTCTTTCTCTGTCTAACTTATTTCACTTTGTATAATGGCCTCTAAGTCCCTCCATGTTGTCACAAATGACAAGATTTCATTCTTTTTCATTGCTGAGTAATACTCCGTTGTATAAATGTACCACATCTTTATCCGTTGGCCTATCGATGGGCCTGTCAGCTTAGAGCCCTCAGCAGGCAAAGGGATCTCGACAGAACATCATAATTTTGTTTTGTTTCCACAGGATGCGTTTTTACAGTTTCCTTCTATTTGTGACAAGAGATGCTGGTTGTCCAGTTATGGTGGTTGACAAACATTCCACATAAGGTAAGCTATTTAGAAGCAGTTGACTGAGAGAAAAGCATGCATTAAATAATAATACAGTGACCTGAAGATGTGACAGAAGTCAGGAAGACATAGAAATGATGGAAGTTTGGAAAACGCTGCTCTGAGGCAAGACGATCACTGGAACTCATCATTTTATATTGTGTTTTTTTCCTGGGCTTTTCTGGTGCCTTGAACCTGGGCCTAGAGGGTTTTGAAACCTAGAACAAGTATTTATTAAATATGTACATGGCACTTTCTGTGTGGCCATGCACTGTTCTAAATGCCATGCTAATATTATCTCATTTCATCCTCACAAACTATGAGATGACTACTATTGTCTGACTTTACAGATGAGGAAACTGAGGCCCAGTGAGGTTAGCTAACTGCCCGGAGGTCAGAGACAGCATTTGGACCCAGGCTGGCTGACTCCAGAACCTGTGCTGTCAACTCCCACCAGGCCCCCAGTTTCCTAGCCCTTGTGCTCTGAGGTGCAGTGTTGGCACTGCAGTTTTGTTCCCGTGTAGCCTTTTTAAAGTGTGTTCCCGGGCAGAGGGTGCTCTGTAGAAACGTAGGCCATTCCATGCCTGGCTGCCTTGGAGCCTCTTGGGGTTGCATCATCCTTTACCACAGAGGTACAGAAGGCTACGGCGTCAAAAGGGGCCCTGGCTTTGGGGGGATGTGGGAGACGAGGGGTGGAAATCCTCTCTTTAGACTACAGACTGCTTCATTGGCTGGTGTCCCCTGGTCAGGGAAAGCTGATAGTATTGACAGTGGCAGTCATTGTCCTTCTAGGACAGAGTTGGGGGAGTACTGGTTACTGAAACGTGGAACAGACACCGCCAGACTTCCCTCCAGGATGGGGGCGCGTTGGAGAATGTCCCAACTCTGGACAGTGGGTCAGTGGACCAGGTATCCGCTTGCCTGGAGAGCAGCCTGATCTGGGCCCCGAAGACCAGAGGAGGCACTTTACCTCCCTCCTTCACGTCATGTACGGTGTCCTTCCCGGCATGGGCAGCCTGGGGCCTTTACTCCTGCTCCTTGGAACTAAGGGTCTTCTGCTACCAGACAGCACCCAGGACATGGAGGATGATGAGTGGGACCCTAGGGGGAAAATAGGGGTGAGGTCCTGGTGACAAATCACCAGAGAGGGAGCTCCCTGGTGGCCACAGAGAAAGCCCAGAGGTACTAGAGGCCCCTGGGCTGGGATGTCCCGTCCTGTCTCCTAACAAGCTCTGTGGATCTAGCTGTCCCCCAGGCTCCAGGGTGTGGTCTGCCCAGCATTGTGAGCTGCAGGAGGGTGGCTGTAGTCGGGGACCCAAGGCCACCATAGGGAAAGTGATAGGGTGGCCTCAGGTCATCCCATGCATGATAGGACCCACCTGTCCCTGTACTAGCTCAGAGAAAGCGTCAAAGCCTGGGCTGCAGGCCCCCTGACCATAGGCCCAGCCCTTCGGGGGGCACATTTTGCTTTTGTGTTCATTGTTCCAGAAGCAGGAAGCAGAACTCTTCAAGGAAAGAGACTCATCAAGTCAACCTGGTTCCTGTCCTCCTCCTGGGGGCCTCACGGAGATTCAGATTCAAGCCTCCCCACCCTGGAGACCCTGCCCAGAGGTAGTGCCTCCCACGCCCTCCATCCCTGAGAAGAGAACTTGGGCAGAATCCCCTTCTGGCTGCCTGTGTCCTGGGTGCCCTGCCTCTGTTCATGTTTCCTCTGAGAGTCCTAAGGCAGCCCACCTCACAGGCCACCTCCCTTGCCAGCTCCCAGGAGAATGTAACAGCCCCCACCCCACTCCCTTCATTGACAGGCCCCTCCCTGTCCACAGATTGGCCCAGCCTATGGCCTGGCCTCCGGGGCTGAGGAAGTATGATATGCTGAAAAGAAATCAGGTTGTGGATGAGCAAAACTACCTAATAAAATGTGAAACATCTAGAGTGCCAGGGTTGCTTCCTTCAGGCACTGGTGACACTGCATTCCTCGTCAGCATCACCCAGACAGGGTGTGACAAGCCCAGGACCTCAAGCAGCAGACCTGATGTCCTTACATGAGCTGGCTGGACAACAGAGACCCCCATCCCACGAAGGAGGCGTCGGAACCCGTTCAAGTGACCCCAGATCTGAAACTTTGTCACAGCAAGGCCGTACTCAGGCCTGGCTAGGCAATCCCCACTCACCTTCAGGACCCTGGATTCCACAAGGAGGGTCAGGCACCTCCTTTATGCTCTCATATCCCTGATTTTTAGCACGTACCACTGCCTTTATGTCTCTATCAAATACTTATATAATGCCCACTTTCACTATGTGCAAGTCACTGTCGTAAGTGCTTTACTTATAGCCACAAAACAACCGATGAGACTGGAAGTGCCGTTATCATTTCCATTTAACAGAGCAGTAAAGTGAAGCACAGAGAGATTAAGTCACTTGCCCAAGGTCACTGAGCGGGGAAGAGATAGAGCTGGATTCAAGTTGGGCAGCCTGGGCTCCGGAGTCCCCATGTTCTTACATGCAGTTGCCTGTCTTCTTGTCTGTTCCCCCTAAACTAAGCTTTGTGAGGTCAGGGTCAACGCCTGTTTTATTCACCTTTACATCCATAGTAATTGCCATAGGGCCTCAGTAAAGGTTTGCAATTGAAATCATGAGTGAATGGATGAATGAAGACCAAGGTCACCGATACAGTGCAAAAGTGACGGTAGGAATTACTGTATAAACCCATCTCTATTATTGTTGTTCAGACATTTCATCAAGTGCATGTCATTTTTTTTTTCATTATTCCTGCTCAGCAATTACTAGGACTTTGTAGTCTAAACAATTCAGCTTAGAGATATTTTCTTCCCTAATTTTTTCTATTATTTCAACTTCTATGTTTAATGTTTTCTCTAACATCTATTAGGTAGATGTTGAAAACCCTGTCTAACTTCCGCGTCTTATAACCGCTCATTTTTCATCTCTTCCTCCTTGTGCACCGTGTTCTGGGAAATTCCCGTGTCGTGAGCTTCCAGGTCACCAGTTAACTGACAGTTTCAGAATTTGTCAGTCATGTTTGCGGTTTCCAAAGCACTAAGAATGTTTCCTTTTCACAGCAGCCTGTTTTTTTTAAAAATAGATATCTTCTGAAATTTCTCTGCAAATATAAACTATGATCGATTTAACTTTTTCTTCTGCTTACTGCATTGCTTCACTCTCCTGAGTTGGTTTTTTCCGTTTGTGGCTTTGGTGTCATTCTTTGAGTGTGCTGGAATTCCTTAGAATGTTGCTGTTTCTCGGTTGTCCATTCATATCTGTAGATGAGGAGGTTCTGAACAAAACTGTTGGTTACTGGAACGTCCTTCCTTAGGCCAAGTGGGAATTCCTGTCACCTAGCAGTGTCTGAAGTCTCTGATTGCAAGAGCCCTGGCCGTGGCCATTGTCAGGTGGGGGCCAGCGGGCAAGGCCCATGGGCAGGTAGAGTGAGTGGATCCTATCTTCTGAATAAAGGGCCCCACTCCAGTGTGGGACCCTTTCGATGCTGGGGTGCTGCCCTTTTCCGTGGCCGTAGCACCTGGCTTCAGAACACCTGTTAGCCATACTTGGGCCTTTGGCCCCTGGGAAAATGTTGGAGTCAGTGGTTAAGGGGTGGTTGGCAGGGGTGGGAGGTTGGGGGGGACTGGCTTGACTAACCTGTGGATATCCCTTCTAGTAATTATGGGGTGCCTTTGGCCTGCTCCTCCCATCCCCCACAGCCTCCTACCTGGTGCTGTGCCGCTTCTACAAAAGCTTGTTTTGGACTTCTCCTCCTCCTCTGTGGGTTATGGGGCCCTCAGTCTGTGGGTTTCCTTGTCCGTCTGTCCCATGATCTTTGTGTCTTATGCACCTGCCTTTCCTACTTTTCTCAGCTTCCTCAATCCATCTGGATTTGGTGAGGGACGAGAGGTACCTGTGTGCTCTGTCTGCCATCTTGAACCCCACACCCATCTTCAGACCCTGGAAACCGGATAACAAGGCTCAGAAACCCCTGGGGAGCAGGGCCTCGGGCTTCCTGCATCCTCTGGGTGATGTCACTGGGCAGGTTCCTTAAAGGCAGGCTCCTTAGCTGGGGAAGAAGTCGCTGCATGAGTTCCATCTGTAGCTGGGTTGAGACGCACAAAGAGGAGCATTTGGAATCTACCTGCTGCCAGGGGCAGGGGTGTGCCGGGGAGAACGGAAGGGAGACAATGGGGAACATATGTTCCCAGGCATCTGGCTCTCTGCACAAAGAGCAAATTCTAGCATGTGCATCCAGGGGCGGCGCCTCTCGTGGCCCTCACGTGCCACCCAGGCTCTTCGTGCCATTGCCTGATGAGGCAGAGAATAAAAATTGACACGCGGGGCACTCCGTGCGCGTGCTTTCTGACACACTGCCACTTCCTTTATTCAGCAAATGCTGAGCAGAGGCCTCTTGTGTACAAGCAGGGCTTGGGTGCTGGATGAGGCAAATTTCCCATTTGTAAGGAGCTTAGATTTCGATGAGGAAGCAGTGGTGTAAATAACAACAAAGCCCCTCTTGGAAACCCCCACCGAGGAGGTGGAAGGATTGGAACAGTAGTGGCTATGGAGGAGAATGGTCTAGGCCAGTGCCTTTGAACTTGACCTGGCACACAGATTACTCAGAGAGTTTTGGTTAATGCCGTTTCTGACTCAGGAGATCTGGGCGGGGCCTGAGATGTTGCATTTCTACCAGCTCCCAGGTGCTGCTGCTGCTGCTGGTCCATGACCAACACTTTGAGTAGTAAGGGGAAAGGAAGCCACAGCTTCCTGCTACCCCGTTGGTGCCATGCTGTAGGTGATGTGGAGATCCATGGAAGCCCCACCAGGAAAGAGCTGCCCCTGTGGCCTCTAAGGGAGGAGCTCTGCCCAACCTTAGGCCCACACAAGCCTGAGTCTCACTGGTGGGTCAGCCAGGCTACAGGTCCCTGCTGCCTGACATCCATCTCACTGGCCAGGGCTTCATGCCAGCCCCGAGGGAAAGTGCTGGGGTTGGGTTGTCTGGGTTGCGCAGCACCCATCAGCGTGGGGACTTGGGCAGGAGAGACCCTCTTCAGAACTTCGGAGGCTGGCTGTGATCCGGGGTAAGGGTCTGGGTCAGACTAGGTCCTGTGGTAGTCCACCTGTTCCTCAGGTTTCGGAGTTTGTCGTAGGGTCCCTGTGAGTACTGAGACCTGTTCGTGAAGCGAGTACACATGGCAGGCACCCAGGAACCTTTGGGGCTGGGTGACTCAGCTCTATTCAGGTCCGCTGCCCTGTGCTTTGCTCTCATGGGTTTGCTTAAGGTCAAGGTAAAGGCTCCTGGGCAGCTGTCAGTCCCTCTCCGCTGCAAGCAGCCTGTGAGGTTGGCTCAGGGCCAGGACACACATGGGCCGTTCTTGGACCAAGCTAGGGAAACCCTCCCCAACCACAGAGCCTCAAGAGTGTTCAAGGCACAAGATGCGCATGTAGGGAGGGCTACTGACTCATGGTTAATAGGTTTAATGGTTAATCCAGCATGTGACCAAGACAGGCTCGCTCTGTGGGGGCCAGAGGTCAGGACGCTGCCCTGTTACCTAACAGATGCTTCAAAATCCTGACATACTCTACACACCATCAAGATCTTTGAAAGGGTTGTACATTATAATGCTTATCTGGAGGGATTTTGCTTACTCATTTGGGGTTTGGGAGGTTTCTCTTGCTGGTTTTCCTCTTTTCAGCCCCGTCTCGTTCAAGTCTTGGCCCCACACTGTGGCCCAGAAGATCTTTCAAAAATGGGAACATAACCATATCTCTGCCTTGCTTGAACCTGTTCGTCAGCCTCAGGGCCAGGGTCAGGCTTGTGGGCTCTGTGCTCAGGGCACCACACCTGCTCCAACCCCACACATTCTTCCGGGGCTCAGATCCTCTTCTCCCAGCTCTCCTCCCCCAGTCTCAGGACCTTTGCACATGCTGTCCTCCTTCCTTGAATACCCATCCCATCTCCCCCACCCTACTCTTAGACCTGTGCCTTCTCTCGGTTCTTCCCTAGCCCCCATTCAGTTCATGTCTTCTACTGTGTCCCGCTGTGTGATTGGAGTCTTGGTAGATGGAGGGAAATTGCTAGAAAACAATTTCAAGGGCCAAGTGGAACAAATAACTGTGTGTATTTGTTTCCTAGGGCTGCTGTCACAAAGTACCACAAACTGGGTGGCTAACCACACAGACATTTACTCTCTCACAGCTCTGAAGTCCAGAATCCCAAATCAAGCAGAGCCATGCTCCCTTCAAAGGCTCTGGGAGACCATCTTTCCACATGTTTCTGGGGGCTCCGGGTGTCCTTGGCTTGTGGCTGCATGATTCCAGTCTCTGCCTTCGTCCTACATGACCTTCTCTTGTTGTCCTCAGGCCTCTCTTCTGTGTGTTTCTTATAAGGACCCTTGTCATTGGATTTAGGACCCCGGGCAATCCGGGACATTCTCATCTCTAGAGCCTTAACATCATCACGTCTGCAAAGACCCTTCTTCCAAATTAGGTCACATTCACAGGCTCTGGATGTTAGGATGTGGACATATTATTTGGGAAGCCACCATTCAGCCTATTACAGTGTGCAGTGACACTGGAACTCCAAACACTATAGAACAAACGCAAGAGTGAGCCTACTAACAGCTGGGAGTGAGTCAGGCAGGCAGGAACGAACCCGGTGATGGCACAGTCATCCTCATGTGGCTGCAGACAGTGTGGAGAGGACAGAGAGGGGACATCAGGATTCTGGCCCCTGCCCCGTCACTCCCACCCCGGGCCAGCTCTTCACCACTCTGAGCCTCTTCTCCTCTTCTGAGGCAAGGCGAGAGGTGAAGACACTTCTCAGGATCACACTGTCTCTAAATCTCCATCCCTGGGGACCCTGCAGTTGATTGACGTAGGCACAGAAGGGACCCTGCCGCAGCAGACACCCTG